AAGTTGTTAAAAATTGTTAATAAGTTGTTAAAAAGTTGTTAAAAAGTTGCTAGAAAATTGCTACAATCTTGTTAAAAAGTTGTTAAAAAGTTGTTGAAAAGTTTTTAGAGAGTTGTTAAAAAGTTGTGAAAAAGTTGGTAAAAAGTTGTTAAAAAGTTGTTAGAGAGTTTTTTAAAAAATTGTTAAAAAGTTGTTAAAAAGGTGGTTAAAATGTTGTTAAAAAGTTTGTTGTCCAAAGTGAATCTCAAGAAAAAAGTGATTCCGAAAATGAATCTCAAGAAAAAAGTGAATCAGAATATGAATCTGAAAAAAAAGTGAATCCAAAAATGAATCTCGAGAAAAAAGTAAATACGAAAAGGAATCTCAAGAAAAAGTGATTCCAAAAATGAATCTCAAGAAAAAAAGAGAATCCAAAAATGAATCTCGAGAAAAAAAGTGAATACAAAATGAATCTCAATTAAAAGTGATCCGAAAGTGAATCTCAAGAAAAAAGTGAATCCAAAAATAAATCTGTAGAAAAAAAAGGAATCCGAAAATGAATCTCAAGAAAAAAGTGATTCCGAAAATGAATCATGAGAAAGAAGTGAATCCAAAAATGAATCTTGAGAAAAAAGTGAATCCGAAAATGAATCTTTAGAAAAAAGTGAATCTGAAAATGAATCTGAAAAAAAATTGAATCAAAAAATCAATCTCGAGAAAAAAAGTGAATCCGTAAATGAATCTCAAGAAAAAAGTGAATCCGAAAATAAATCTGGAGAAAAAAGTTAATCCGAAAATGAATCTGAAAAAAAAGTGAATCCGAAAATGAATCTTGAGAAAAAAAGTGAATCCGAAAATGAATATCGAAAAAAAAGTTATTCCCAAAATGAATGTCGAGAAAAAAAGTGAATCCAAAAATGAATTTTAGGAAAAAAGTAATTCTGAAAATGAATCTCGAGAAATAAAGTGAAGCCAAAAATGAATCTCAAGAAAAAAGTGAATCCGAAAATGAATCCCGAGAAAAAAGTGAATTCGAAAATGAATCTCGAGAAAAAAGTGAAAATGAAAATGAATCTCGAGAAAAAAGTGATTCCGAAAATGAATCAAGAGAAAAAACTGAATCCGAAATGAATCTCGAAAAAAAAGTGAATCCGATAATGAATCTAAAAAAAAAGTGATTCCGAAAATGAATCTCAAGCAAAAAGTGAGTCCAAAAATGAATCTGAAAAAAAAAGTGATTCCGAAAATGAATCTTAAGAAAAAAGTGGATCCGAAAATGAATCTCGAGAAAAGTGAGTCTAAAAATGAATCTCGAGAAAAAAATGAATCGGAAAATGAATCTCATGAAAAAAAGTGAATCCGAAAATGAATCTTGAGAAAAAAGTGAATCCAAAAATGAATCTGAAAAAAAAGTGATTCCGAAAATGAATCTCGAGAAAAAAGTGAATCCCAATTTGAATCTGGAGGAAAAAACTGAATCTAAAAATGAATCTCGAGAAAAAAGTGAATCCGAATCTTTATCTGGAGAAAAAACTGAATCCAAAATCAATCTGGAGAAAAAAGAGATGGGTAAAATGAACCTGGAGAAAAAAGTGAAACCAATTGATTGTGAGTTGACAATTTTTCGCAGAAGTGGAAAATGAATTTGGAGAAAAAAGTGAAACCGAAAATGAATCTTGACAAAATGTGAATCCGAATCAGAATTGGAGAAAAAATTGAATCCGAATCTGAAAGCGAAAATGAATCTAGAGAAAAAAGACGAATCCAAAAGTGAAATTGCAAAAAAAAGTGAAACCGAAAATGAATGTCGAGAAAAAAGTGAATCGCAATTTGAATCTGGAGAAAAAAACTCATACCAAAAATGAATCTTGAGAAAAAAGTTAATCCATCCGAGAATGAATCTCAAGAAAAAAGTTAATCCGAATACGAATGTTGAGAAAAAACTGAATCCAAAATCAATCTGGAGAAAAGAAAGATGGGTAAAATGAACCTGGAGAAAAAGTTAAACCAATTTTGATTGTGAGTTGACAATTTCGATTGTTAGTTGACAATTTTGATTGTGAGTTGACAATTTTGATTGTGAGTTGACAATTTTGATTGTGAATTGACAATTTTGATTGCGAGTTGACAATTTTTCGCAGAAGCGGAAAATGAATTTGGAGAAAAAAGTGAAACCGAAAATGAGTCTTGACAAAATTGAATCCGAATCTGAATTGGAGAAAAAATTGAATCCGAACCTGAAAGCGAAAATGAATCTAGAGAAAAAAGTCGAATCCGAAAATGAATCTGCAAAAAAAAGTGAAACGGAAAATGAATCTCGAGAAAAAAGTGAATCCCAATTTGAATCTGGAGAAAAAAACTGAATCCAAAAATGAATCTCCAGAAAAAAGTGAATCCATCCGAGAATGAATCTCGAGAAAAAAGTTAATCAGAATCTTAATGTGGAGAAACAAACTGAACCCAAAATGAATCTGGAGAAAAATGAGATGGAGAAAATGAACCTGGAGAAAAAATGAAGCCAATTTTGATTGTAAATTGACAACTTCGATTGTGAGTTGACAATTTTGATTCTGAGTTAACAATTTTGATTGTGAGTTGAAAATTTTGATTGTGATTCGAAAATTTTGCTCGTGAGTTGACAATTTTGATTGTGAGTTGCCAATTTTGATTGTTAGTTTACAATTTTTCACACAAGCGCAAAATGAATTTGGAGAAAAAAGTGAAACCGAAAATGAGTCTCGACAAAATGTGAATCCGAATCTGAATTGGAGAAAAAAATTGAATGTGAATCTGAAAGCGAAAATGAATCTCGAGAAAAAAGTCGAATCCGAAAATTAATCCGGAGAAAAAAGTGAAACCGAAAATGAATCTCGAGAAAAAAGTGAATAGCAATTTGAATCTGGAGAAAAAAAGTGAATCCAAAACTGAATATCGAAAAAAAAGTGAATCCAAATCTGAATGTGGAGAAAAAACTAAATCCAAAATCAATCTGAAGAAAAAAGAGATGGGTAAAATGAACCTGGAGAAAAAAGTGAAACCAATTTTGATTGTGAGTTGACAATGTCGATTATTATTTGACAATTTTGATTGTGAGTTGAGAATTTTGATTGTGAGTTGAGAATTTTGATTGTGAGTTGAAAATTTTGATTGCGGGTTGAAAATTTTTCGCAGAAACGGAAAATGAATTCGAAGAAAAAAGTGAAACCGAAAATGAGTCTTGATAAAATGTGAATCCGAATCTGAATTGGAATGTGAAAGCGAAAATCAATCTCGAGAAAAAAGTCCAATCTGAAAATGAATCTGCAAAAAAAAGTGAAACCGAAAATGAATCTCAAAAAAAAAGTGAATCCTTATTTGAATCTGGAGAAAAAAACTGAATCCAAAAATGAATCTCGAGAAAAAAGTGAATCCATCGGAGAATGAATCTCGAGAAAAAGTTAATCAGAATCTCAATGTGGAGAAAAAACTGAATCCAAAATGAATCTGGAGAAAAATGAGATGGAGAAAATAAACCTGGAGAAAAAAGTGAAGCCAATTTTGATTGTAAGTTGACAATTTCGATTGTGAGTTGACAATTTTGATTGTGAGTTGACAATTTTGATTGTGAGTTGAAAATTTTGATTGTGATTCGAAAATTTTGCTTGTTAGTTGACAATTTTGATTGTGAGTTGACAATTTTGACTGTTAGTTGACAATTTTTCACAGAAGCGCAAAATGAATTTGGAGAAAAAAGTTAACCGAAAATGAGTCTCGACAAAATGTGAATCCGAATCTGAATTGGAGAAAAAAATTGAATCCGAATCTGAAAGCGAAAATGAATCTCGAGAAAAAAGTCGAATCAGAAAATGAATCTGCAGAAAAAAGTGAAACCAAAAATGAATCTCCAAAAAAAAGTGAATCCCAATTAGAATTTAAAGAAAAATATGAATTCCAAAAATGAATCTCGAGAAAAAAGTGAATCCATCCGGGAATGAATCTCGAGAAAAAAGTTAATCAGAATCTGAATGTGGAGGAAAAAAACTGAATCCAAAATCAATCTGGAGAAAAAAGAGATGGGTAAAATGAACCTGGAGAAAAAAGTGAAACCAATTTTGATTGTGAGTTGACAATTTCGATTATTAGTTGACAATTTTGATTGTGAGTTGACAATTTTGATTGTGAGTTGAAAATTTTGATTGTGAGTTGACAATTTTGATTGTGATTTCACAATTATTTCGCAGAAGAGGAAAATGAATTTGCAGAAAAAAGTGAAACCAAAAATGAGTCTTGACAAAATTTGAATCCGAATCTGAATTGGAGATAAAAATTGAATCCGAATCTGACAGCAAAAATGAATCTCAAGAAAAAAGTCAAATCCGAAAATAAATCTGGAGAAAAAAGTGAAACTGAAAATGAATCTCGAGAAAAAAGGGAATCCCAATTTGAATCTGGAGAAAAAAAGTGAATCTAAAAATGGGCGTGCTGAAGTGGGCGTGTCTGACCACTTCCACAAAAAATCGGAACTTGAAAGTCAAAGCGTAAGGAAGTAGCGAGAAAACCGCCGCCCACTGGAAATGACGTCATAATTAGATTTAAGTGGGCGTGTCTGACCACGGCCACAAAAAATCGGAAGTTGAAAGTCAAAGCGTAAGGAAGTAGAGAAATAAGCCACGCCCACCAAAAGTGATGTCAAAATTAAATTAAGTAGGCGTGTCTGAGCACGCCTACAAAAAATCGGAAGTTGAAAGTCAAAGCGTAAGAAAGTAGTGAAATAAGCCCGCCCACCGGAAGTGACATCATAATTAGATTGAATTGCCATGTTTGACCACGCCCACAAAAAATCGGAAGTTGAAAGTCAAAGTGTAAGGAAGTAGGGAAATAAGCCCCGCCACCGGAGAAGACGTTATAATTAGATTGGCGTGTCTGACTACGCCCACAAAAAATCGGAAGTTGAAAATCAAAGCGTAAGGAAGTAGCAAAAAAAGCCCCGCCCACCGAAAGTGACATCATAATTAGATTAAGCGGGCGTGTCTGTGATTCATAGCTTTATTAGGCACAACAAATTATATATTACATACCAAACCCACAATATAAGGCTGCCAGCATCTCCTAACAAATATGATAGCAAGATTTGCAAGCCCATGCTGTGGCTCTGTCTGTATCTACAAAGAAACAAGACAACTGCTAACACTTATATTATAGAAATGTCTTTACGGAATTATTAAATTTATATAATTTCAGAAAAACATGTTTAAGTAACATAAGAAAGAACAATATATTTTGAAGCCAGGATCAATGACATAACCAAGATTGGCATACTGGATCATCTCTTATTGATTCAGCGTTACTACAGCAGGAAACCTACACAAACTAACTATATTTACACTGGATAATTCTATCAGCTCTAAACAGTTCATCCTGCAGTAAGCAACATCTGTTGTTAAAAATCACATACCAGCATAACATATGTTTCACATCATTCAACCATGAACGACGAATGATAACATCCTTGTCTGCAACGATATCACCCTGAGTCTTTTCAATTTGCCCCTAGACAGGTTCAACAACAGATATAAAGCACAAGATGATAAGAAGCACACCCAAGATTGAAGTTACCTGAACACATCAAGTTAACATGTTTATTTCACATGTTTACATACCCTGTGTTTTCTCTATTATAAAATAATTGTCACCACTAAATGCAGAAGATACTTTTGAACCAACAACATCTTGAGAGACCACTAAAAAGTTTTCACTATATAGTTAAGACAATGAAATAATCTAGTCTTGATAATGGTAATACTTTCAAAAATATCCTGGAGACAAATAAAATGTATAATAATGATCTTTCTCACCTGCCAACAGGGATTTCAAAAGAAAACAAAGCCAACATTTGTGTTCTTCTTCCAGGGACAAAAAAGTCAGCAATGCAGTTTGTTTGAATTGTTTAAATTTGTATTCAGTCGGTTACCATGAATGATGAAGAAAGAAATGCCTAAAAATACGTTTGTTGGCTCTTTGGCATAAGTGAAAATTTTGAACTGGTAAACATTATATGGGTTGCTAGCTAGCTGAAAATATTTCTCCTGTGATTTATAGCTTTGGGTAAAACAAACTGTATATTACATACCAAACCCACAATATTAGGACTGCCAGCATCTCCTAACAAATGTGATAGTAGGATTTGCAATGCCGATGCTGTGGCTCTGTCTATATCTACAATGAAACAAGACAACTGCTAACAATTATATTATAGAAATGTCTTTACCGAAATAATAAATTTATATAATTTCAGAAATACATATTTAACTTAAAATAAGAAAGAACAATTATTTTGAAGCCAGGAATGGCATACTGGATCTCATGATCTGTTATTGATTCAGTGTTTACTACAGCAGAAACCTACACAAACTAACTATATTTATACTGCATAATTGTATCAGTTAAAATCACCTACCAGCATAACATATCAAATACATCCTGGAGTCAGATAAAACTTAACAATGATCTTTCTCACCTGCCAACGGGGATTTCAAAATAAAACAAAGCCAACATTCGTGTTCTTCTACCAGAGACAAAAAGGTCAGCAATGCAGCTTGTTTGAGTTATTTGAACCTGGTATTAGGTTGGGTGCAAAATTTTGAACTGGTAAACATGATATGGGTTGCTAGCTATATTTAATAACTCTTCATACTCTTCGTGCATCAGTATATAATAACTCTTTGTGCATCAGTATATAAAACTCTTCGTACATCAGTATATATGGTATTTGTTTCACCAAGGCAATATATTCCTGGTAGTAGCAAGCTCCCAGTAGCTAAACATTTAGTACAATTTGCTTGAGAAATTAATATACCTATATAAATTTCTGGCTACATTATATAACCTATGATACATAAGTGTCCTGTGCAAGGAAAGAATCTTACCTTGGCTATCGAAGAGGGTAAATTCCAATCATCAAAGTATATACCTCAAAATGCAACGTGGCCACTAGGAAGCCTGAGAATGTTACAAATAATAAGCATAAGTCACCATATTATAGTTAACTCTATGTAGACTGTAAAATGGAATGGTTACTATCTTGATATAGTAATTGTTGGTTGGTTTTTCCCCATCAGATTTCATGAAGAGTAAAGTGCTAGCAACTTTCCTTACATCCAAAATATAAGGTAAATGCATCTGGTTTGATCACACATACTGGAGCAACATTAAGCAGATATAATAAGATGAATAGTACATAATTCAGTATCAATATTCAATATGTGGCTTCAATTCATGAATTTAAAGCCTGAAAGTTTCCAGTTACTAAACAGCTAGTACAATTTCCTTGGGAATTAATTAATAATTAATATAACTTTCTACATTATAAACCAATATAAGTCTCATGTGAAAAGGAAACAATCTTACCTTGGCTTCTGAAGAAACAGGAACATATCCAACACAAATCTTGAACAAAAAAAAAGTGCTGGTCAAACTATGATTAAGTACAAGAATTTCAACGAATAAAGGTGTGGCTGTTTTACAAAGCAAAAAGCAGTCAGTTTTACATGTCACATTGACAGAATGCTGTTATTTTAAACTAAAATTGCTACTGGCCCAGGTAATAAATTACCTACAAATAAACACATGGCAGAGAAGATTATAACCTTTTTAATTTGGTTCAAATGATTTCTAGCTTAAGTATCCCTTCATCCAGGGAAATACAGCATCCAGCACGGCAAATTAAAGAAGGATTAAAAGCCGAGCCATATTACTTTCTGGGCGTACAATGTAACATGCCATATATCACTAAAATGTTATGAGCTTAATACCTTTACTGGCTAGCACGTTGAAAGATTCCCTCGAAATCGGCTTCATCTTCATGCTAGATATTTAAAGGGAAAATTCGTATTAAAATTGGAGCTGAATTAGCTAGCTTTTTAGGAAGAGTATTTCATATTGTACATGGTTTTTTGCATTATTTCTGACCAAACGATTTGCTTTAGAAGATTAAGAGGAAAACAAAATACTTAACTTTGAACACACAGCACGACCAGCTTGCCCACAAAGGTGAAAGCCACAAGGTCCACATGGCATCATCTCTGTGGCATCGCTATTTTGAAATTCACCTCCACAAGTTCCCCAACTGAATCAGTTGAACTGATATTAAACTGTCACAGCTTTAAGAAAATATTTCTACTTCATCTTTTGACAACTGGCTGTTCAGATAAACCTATATACAACGAAAAAAAGCAAAGAAACCCTGAGCTACATTCAGTAATTCAGTGGGAACTAGCAGAGTGCAATGATCGTTGTATACCACCCCAGCGGGGAAAAGAAACCCCCACCGTGGCAGCATACAGCAAGTCGAAGAACTTAAGCCAGAACTTACGTTTTAGTCAACGGCGAACTCCTTCTTCTTCGAACAATCTTCAATCTTGCTGACAATCGTAGAAGATCACATGGTATGATAATGCCGATAAACTCCGGTGATAATTCAAAGTGGTTTGCTGATTTTAATTTGCGATTCCTGTGCGAATACTTGACCGATTTTAATAAAAATGGGACCCCTTTAAAGAAGAAATTGTCCTCAGTGGATACATGTTTTTTTAGGTCGATATGTTGCCAATTCGCTATGATATTCACCTTAAAGTGCATGCGTTATATATATTATTCAATATTACACATCAAAGCAGCCTAATCCTTAAAATATTGCCCAAAATGAAATAATAGAAACCTTGGATCAAATGAAAATCAGACTTTTTGAAGATGGTGTTCCTGTACCGAGCACCATATCACTCAAGAGGGTTATTTTAAGGCAGCTGGAGTGCTGATGGCTTGCAGAATTGTGCAAGGGGTCCTGCACCAAATTTTATGGCACAGTGGGTGTTCGATTATTTTGCTCATGGTTTGCATCAGGTGCCTTTGTGCACTGATGACATCCAAAATGAGCTGCCAAAAAAGGTAGCTGAAAAGGTACAATGCACCCCATTATTTCAGGCTTAAATATTGTCACAGCAATTGCCATTGACGAACAACAAAATGCTGCCGTATCATTTAGGCAACAACATTTGAATTACACATGCACTGTAATTTTTCCACAATTGTATGGCACAAATAAAATTTCTATAGTAAAATATTAAGGAAGCCACAGAAGGGTGCATATTATACTGCAGTCCATTATTATACCATGTGGAATTGTGCTTCATGAGTGTCCATTTTAAATTATCTGATTAAAATAGCCCAGAGGATTTTAAACATAATAATTTTTTTGATAATGAGTTGCAAGAAATAATTTGTGATGATGAAGTTCTAATTACAGTGGTAAATTCAGTTGGTTAGGTTTGGTAAAAATATACTGCAAACTATTCATTAACCCACTATTTTCCTTCTGTTTTTAACATATCTGACTTCTAACTCACTGTATGAAATCAGTAAAAGCTTACATAGGTGTTTATTAAGTAGTGTGCTAAGAAATGTTGTTAAGGACCAGATAACGAGGCAATAGATCATAATGAGCTTGCGACTGTATCTTTCACAAATATAGCCGAATATTGGAGCAAATATCATGTAGCTTGCAATAAATATTGTCTGGAGAAGGCCTCCTAAGGCATAATTTATTCTGAAAACAATAATTGAATAATGATTGTGTAAAAAAATTATATTGCATTCACATGTGATAGCAATTCTAACAGGATTGGGTAATAATAAAGGATTGTAATTATATCTTGTGTAATAATTGCAGTGAAATTAACAACCAGCATTTCTAAATTTTGCTTGATTGCATACAAAATATTAGCTTGAATTTGAGGTTGATATTGTTATTATATTCTAACTACAATGTTTAGGTTGAGATGTTATACCAGGAAATTACATGACAATTATCAATTAATTGTCCGATTTTCAGAAGTCTTCACTTCAGTCTCACCATGCACAAATATTAAAGCATCTACAAAATTTTGCGAGGGTGAAGCGTCAGAAGCGATCCATATATTTGAGTAAATCAAGAATAAGATACCAACAGTGACTTATTAAAACACGAGGCGTGGTTGTTCTTTGTGGTGAATGTGGTTGAATTTTCGGGATTGTTTTTTTTTCTTGCTCAGAGAAGTGAGAGAACGAATGGTGAAACATCATGTAATATGATAGGTAGCCCAACACTCGTGTTCTGCGCGCGTACACGCTACTCAGTGATTAGCATATATTAATTTATACTAAGGTTGGCAACTTTATCACCAATTATCAATAATATATCACATACATACATGTCAAACTTCGATAATTTGGATCCAAAACCATAGTCAAGAACCTCACCAGTGTCAACAGAAATAACAAAATCAATTCCAAAGTTTGCAGTGAACCCTTGCTTAGCCCATGTGCCATCATAACTCACAGCAATCTCTGCAACATCTGACTCAACAATGACTTTGCTATTTCCATATCTACGAGACTCATCATTGGTAACTTTCAACTTTCCACCTAATTCCCAATTATGCAAGGACTGAAATGCACTTGCTAGGTTTGAAAGTTCAATCATTCGATAACCATACTCGCCATCAAAATCCTCTCTTCTATCTATATCTTCACTTGTAAGCTTTCGTATTGAAGCAGTTTCATTCAGTGATGTTGACCCACATGGCGTTGATGTCGCTGATGAAACACACTCAGAAGAGCTACTTTGACCATTGAAGCACGATTGTCTTGCTCATAAATCTGAATCCTGCAATATTAGAACAGAGTACGAAGGTATTTTATAACAAAATCATTATCTGAGTATAATCTTTTATCCAAATTTAATAGTCATCCAACAATCACTGTAAACATAATTATACACAGTATCTCAAACTTAGATAAAATCGACAAACTTACAGGAGATATCTTCCAGTAGTTGTTTTTCAAAATATTTATTTGGTTGTTTTTTAAAAGACAATTGTTGAATGGTTTTATAAAGCTCCACTCTTCACTCTTGATGCGTCCGCCATTTTAATTTAGTTTTCTGGATAGTTCATGTTGTGCAAATGAAATGGATCCACACCAAAACGAAAAATGTAAACAAAGCTCGCACATGCGTAGAAGCGACTGGAAATTGCGGTGAAGAGCGGTGGAAATTGCGGTGAAGAGCGATGGAAATTGCGGTGAAGAGCGGTGGAAATTGCGGTGAAGAGCGGTGGAAATTGCGGTGAAGAGAGCCGAAATTGCGGTGAAGAGCGGTTGAAATTTTTTATTTTTTTTGCCTGTTTTAATATCATAAAAAGTATATTCGATATCATATACTTTTTATAAAGCATGCACAATACAAAAGAAAAAAATTACGCATATAAACTTAGATATAAACTAGAGAAAACTACTTTATCTTATATTAGAGTTCCATTCCGACAACGAGATATCTGTAGTTGAAGGAATGTTTACAGTTCTCCAAGAAGGACTACCACGAACACACACGTGTTTTTTCAAGTCACAAATGCAAAATAGAAAAATATTAATAGAATAATACCTATTATTTGCTGCGAGAAAGCCTTTACGTTTTTCCTTCCCCATCTTTCGGCGCCATAGTTCGTTCTGGAATCAAATAAGCAAGGAAACACTAAATTAAAGTAACCGCTCATTTGCATTTGACATTTTCAACCGAAATATACAAGATAAAGCAGTAAAAATCGGCAGGAATATCACCATGTACCTAAGCAAGACTTCCAACTTTTCCCAAACTTCTTCGAGACTGCAAGTGCAAAGACTGAGTTTCGTCTAGATTGTAAGTTCAACTGCCTTTTATTACTTCAAAGACAATGTTTTAAACAGTGGTTTTTAAACAGGAGGCCTGGTAAATTTCAAAATTTTCTTGGGGGAGGAGATGCCCCCCCATCCTTCGTTCCCAGGTTTTTGGAGTACAGGAGATGCCCTCCCCCTTAACAGTGCTTTATCCCCGCGGCCCTGACCATGAGGACCTATTACGTGCTAATCCCAATGCCAGATATTTCCTATTTTTTACGTAAATTAAGTAATGATTCCACAACCATCTTTTTAAAATTCTTTTACGACAGTGTTCTGGGAATCGAACCCAGAAGCCACAAACGCGTTTTTATCACTATCAAACAACACGTTTTGGTTTGGCCCCAGGCCTGGACACTCTTTTTTAAAGCCAAACGAAAAGGAGGGAAACCGGAGTGCCCGGTGAAAAACCCTCCAGGTTACCTGACCGGCGGTCCGAATTTGGTATTTTTATTAGAAATCGTCCGCAATGACATGCACTTCAGTTTTTATCTATAATTCATCCTTTCAGCTCCGCTAATTTCAAACCGAGTCCCAGGAATTGCCATGCAATTCTTGATCCTCGTTAATTCGATTCTTCTGGTGGTTTAACCTGCGGAGCGCGCGCACATTTAGAGCGCGCAAAACATCATGCTCTTAGACATTCAACTGCGCTTTGTCCGACAATGACAACAAAAATTATTTCCGAATTATTCAAATGTTCATTTTATGATAAAAAAATACTTCGTATTCACGACTTGCATGCTTTTTCATATCAAACTGATGTAGACGATAACATGAAGGAAATAAACGTAATCGGGCCGAACATGCAACTTACTCAATATGGCTAATCAATAATGTTCCCTTACCTTTAAATTTTCGTAACGTATAATTACGTTTGGTAAACAATGTATCGAATTTCACTTGCTTCATTGCTCCACTCCAAACAGTTATCTTCTTCTTCAACAGCATCTCGACGGTTGGGCGTGTAAGAAATTAAACAACATAGTAAGTGTGTCAAAATGCAAAGCCGGTTTTCTTTAAAGGGTTTGTTTTTCAGGCAAGAGAGTACTATACAATATTAAACCTACAGTTTAAACATTATACCTCGAGATACCCCCACTATAAGTCCAGTTATCATGCAATGCAATTTGGGAGGTATGTTTTCTCCTCTTATACAAATTTCATCAAGTTAGTAAAAGTGATTAGATTACGTTTATTTCCTTTATGTTCGGGATTAATCGGATTTTTCAAAGCTTACAACTGCAAACCAAAAAATTAATACGAACAAGGGAAAAAGAAGAGTACTAGTGTCTAAACAGCAAAGCACTTATTTTTTTTCACTTCAAACTTCAAAATTCCATGCTAAGGTATAATTTTTGTTGCCACTGATGGACGGTCCTTCGAAACGCATTATAACAGGCTGAAGAGAGAACTTATATAATCATATAAGTACTCGCGATTACCTTCGTATTAATCTAAAATTAGGTTAATACGAATTCGATATTTTCTCTAACAAATTGCATTTTGTTAGTTTCTTTTGAACGCTTTAAAGCCATCATGCATACGCAGACGCTACGTCATTGGATTTCACTTTTATTCACACAAGTGACAAAACTAGGAATTTTTTTAACGAGAAAACTCGAAAAATGCCCTCATAAGAGCTGTGAGAAATTTCCTGTTATCATGCATTGTCGAAAAGGTTGAAATGCCACTTGATGTGTGAATGTACTAGGTTAGACCACCAGGAGGATCCAATGCCATGCAGCATGCACATGCACTAATCATGCATACCTATAGTATATACCTCAACCAGCTTCCACTTGATCCTGCGACGCTCCTCCAACATCTAATTCATCACTGATCCTGCGACGCTCCTCCAACATCTAATTCATCACTGATCCTGCGACGCTCCTCCAACATCTAATTCATCACTGATCCTGCGACGCTCCTCCAACATCTAATTCATCACTGATCCTGCGACGCTCCTCCAACATCTATTTCATCACTGATCCTGCGACGCTCCTCCAACATCTAATTCATCACTGATCCTGCAACGCTCCTCCAACATCTAATTCATCACTGATCCTGCGACGCTCCTCCAACATCTAATTCATCACTGATCCTGCGATGCTCCTCCAACATCTAATTCACCACTTATCCTGCGACGCTCCTCCAACATCTAATTCATCACTGATCCTGTGACGCTCCTCCAACATCTAATTCATCACTGATCCTGCGACGCTCTTCCAACATCTAATTCATCACTGATCCTGCAACGCTCCTCCAACATCTAATTCATCACTGATCCTGCGACGCTCCTCCAACATCTAATTCATCACTGATCCTGCGATGCTCCTCCAACATCTAATTCACCACTTATCCTGCGACGCTCCTCCAACATCTAATTCATCACTGATCCTGCGACGCTCCTCCAACATCTAATTCATCACTGATCCTGCGACGCTCCTCTAACATCTAATTCATCACTGATCCTGCGACGATCCGTCTGGTCCTGCGACGATCTTTCAACATCTGATCCTGCAACGATTCTTTAGAACAAAGATATGATATTAATTTCCAAGTCACAAATATCACTTAGATACCAGTATCATACCATACCATACCATACCACACCATCTGATCCTGAGACGATCCTTCATCATCTGATCCTGCGACAATCCTTCAACATCTGATCCTGCAACGATACTTTATCAAAATGATATGACATTAATTTTCAAGACACAAATATCACTTAGGTAGCAATACCATACCATACCATACCATACCACACCATACCATACCATGAGATCCTGCGACGATTCTTGAACATTTGATACTGCGATGATCCTCCTGATCCTGCGACGATCCGTCATCATCATAATGAATAATTTCCAAGAGAAAAATGTCACTTAAGTATAAAGCACTCAGGATAAATTATATCGAACCTCCAACACTCCAACGTCAGTCATTCGTGGCCTTCGCATTGCGCACGCGAATACAAAATGTCATGCACGTTTTAATACAAATTATAATGCACGTTTGAATACAAAATGTTATGCACGTTTCAATACAAAATATCGTGCACGTTTTAAGAAAAATGTCATGCAGGTTTTAATACAAAATGTCATGCACGTTTTAATACAAAATGTCATGCACGTTTTAATACAAAATGTTATGCACGTTTTAATACAAAATGTTATGCACGTTTTAATACAAAATATCATGCAGGTTTTAATACAAAATGTCATGCACGTTTTAATACAAAATGTCATGCACGTTTTAATACAAAATGTCATGCACGTTTTAATACAAAATGTCATGCACGTTTTAATACAAAATGTCATGCACGTTTTAATACAAAATGTCATGCACGTTTTAATACAAAATGTCATGCACGTTTCAATAAAAAATGTAATGCACGTTTCAATACAAAATGTCATGGACGTTTTAATACAAAATGTTATGCACGTTTTAATACAAAATGTCATGCACGGTTTAATAACAAATGTCATGCACGTTTTAATACAAAATGTCATGCATGTTTTAATACAAAATGTCATGCACGTTTCAATACAAAATTTGATGCACGTTTTAATAAAAAATGTCATGCACGTTTTAATACAAAATGTCATGCACGTTTCAATACAAAATGTCATGCGCGTTTTGGTACAAAATGTCATCCGCGTTTTGGTAGAAAATTTCATGCAAGTTTCAATACAAAATGTCATTCACGTTTTGGTACAAAATGTCATGCACGTTTTGGTAAAAAATGTCATGCAAGTTTTAATACAAAAGGTCATGCACGTTTTGATACAAAATGTCATGCACGTTTAATTACAAAATGTCATGCACATTTTATTACAAATGTTATGCTCGTTTTAATACAAAATGTCATGCAAGTTTTAATACAAAATGTCGTGCACGTTTTAATACGAAATGTTATGCGCGTTTTAATACAAAATGTCATGCACGTTTATTACAAAATGTCATGCACGTTTTGGTACAAAATGTCATGCACGTTTGAATACAAAATGTCATGCACGTTTTAATACAAAATGTTATGCGCGTTTTAATACAAAATGTCATGCACCTTTATTACAAAATTTCATTAAAGTTTTTGTACAAAATGTCATGCACGTTTGAATACAAAATGTCATGCACGTTTTAATACAAAATGTCATGCACGTTTTAATACAAAATGTGATGCGCGTTTTAATACAAAATGTCATGCAAGTTTTAATACAA